ATTGCACGGCGTTGCAAAACGGACATCGCGGTATTACACGCGTTATTACACGCGATTCCGAGCTCGTTACAGTCGTCAAGGATCTCTCGACGTCGACAGGACCCCACTCGTCTGATTTTTCAATTATTCAATACACGGTCGGGATGATTTTCTCTCGAGAATAAGGGGATGAGATCGAGGTGGCGTTATCGGCGTCCGCGGCGGATGAATCTCGAAATGTAGACTCCCGGGACGCGCGAATGGAAAGAAAAAAATAAAAAAAAAAAAAGGATAATCAAGTTGCAACACGCCCGGCGCAAGAGGAGCGTCTTCAAAGCGCGATGCGCTCGCTGGCGCTCCTCCAGAGGCGAGAGTCCCCCGCGTGCGGGCGCGATGGGGTAACGCATAACGGCCGCTCGTCATGACGACAGCATCGCATAATTGCGCACGATGATGCACGGCTCAAATCTGTCGTGTAATTACGGCATAATTTCCAGACGCAACGCGCCTGGAAATCCAGAGCGTGTGTCTACCCGCGCGAATTCTCACGTTTTCCCACCTCTGGACAGAAAACATAACATAACACGCATACGCGCGCGCACACACGCGTGAGAGAGTGTAATTGTCTTCCTTTCGTAATCTCACGGGTATTATATTTTTAGATGACTCGCGCGGTACTCTCGTGGTACAAAATGATTATCAGGCCTCGGTCGTCGCGGTGACGTCGCGTAAGCGATCGTGGGACGGCGATGGGACTTTTACTTGGGGCGCGAAAAGCGCTGAAAAGCCTTTCCCGTGAGAGAGAAAGACGGAGAGAAAGGAACGGGGGAACGGTGAAGCAAGGCGAGCCGGTGATCGCGTAGTGGGACCGACAAAGTTACCTGGATCGACAGCGGATACTTTTCTCAGCAGTAACCACCAAGACACCATGACAACACGATCACTCGCATCGACCCCGACGCGGCCGCCGTCGTCAGCCGTCGGCCTGATCGCGCTTCTTCTTATCACGGTAGCACGTAAGTCCACTCCCGATTCGATCTAATTAATCTCGAGGAGGAAAAAAACACACAGTGCTCCCCTTACAATTCGTTCGTACGACGATCTGACCCGCCGGCACGCTCGTGAAAGTTCATCGAGCTCCGATTTGACCGATGAAGATATGGTGAAATCGTGGATTCGCGTGAGTCCCAAGTATGGCACGGTATGGCGAGGTACCTTTTACCTGAAAATCTCTCGCGCCCATCACGAATCGCATTATTGACTAAAAATTTATTAAATTTATCATACCTATTGAATCTCTTACGAAGCGGGATAATTTATAATTTTTTATCGAGCGATTCGAAATAGTTACGAAAAAGATTAAAATATTACGCTTGATCCTGCGACTCACCAAGCGACGTCCTTGATGAAAAGTGAGGGGATTAAAGATCCCAGTTTATCATATCAAGTTGTCATCAGGATATTATCTTCGCAACGCGCACAGAGTTACGAAACGGACCCGCAGCGTGGATCTTCGACAAATCTGTGACGAATCCGCGCTGCGTTGTTTTATAAAAAGGATTTTCACTTGAAATTACCGCCGGTGAATGGTCTAAATAATCCTGTCGCATTATTTATAGTAATTAGGATATCCGCACGCGATTTCGCAGGCTGCTTTCTTGTCCACTCTACTTATCGCCGACTTCGCGGCTTCGCGTCCCAGGACGACTTCACGCTCCGCGTTTTTGCGCGCACCATTTTTAGCGCGTGCTTTAGAAAGCAGGCAGAAATTACATGGTGCTAAGTTGCAATTAACAATCGCCTGATCTAAAAACCAATATTAGTTCTCCGACTATTTCTGTCGCGCTGTTCCGTAATAGAAAAAGAGAGAAAAAGAGGAGATCGGTCGCGTGGGAAAATGGCGAAATTCAGCTTCGTTCGAGACAAACGCGGCCGTGACATTCTTATTGTAAACATCTCGATATTTAACGCATCTGGCTGGCGTGCTCTGAGAGAATTTGAACGATCCTTGGCATCGGATTCGCAGACGGAAGTTAAAAGTTCCAAGTGTTTTCTTGCCGCTACGAAGATGTATATATTAAGAAATACCAATATAATATAAATTTAAAATTTTTTTCCTAGATGTGGAAGAAGATATGTTTTTTCTTCCTATCTCCGCTCGATTTAAAGAAAATCGCGCAGAGATTTGGAAAATGAAAATTTTTCAACAAAACGTTGATAGTAAAATGGGAAAATAGAAAAAAAATTGAGATTCTTCAGAATTTATTGTTAGAATTTACTTGCCGTTGAAGTTTCTTTATGTAAACGGCGAACGTGCACCGAACTTGCAAAATTCTAAACGGTTTCTGCATTCTAAAAACAGCAATTTATATTGGCTACGTATAAATAATGTTAAGATGCATGCTTTATAAATAAATCCACGTAAAGTCAAAGGAATGCCGAAACTTGAGGATGCAAAAGTATACGCGAAGACGGCGGCGGATGAAAACGAAAGGGCGATAACACCGTGGATCTCGGCGGGCCTTTTGACATTTCCAGGCTTCCAGGAGGTGAAAGCGGGAGCCGGATAACCGTAATTGGCCATCCGTATATAATACAAGTTCCGAGTCCGCAATGTCGTAATAGAGTCTGCGAATAGTCGCCAAAATGTTTGCAATGCGAATAATCTTGATCGAGACACGATTTATCTCAGTCATATCCCGTGAGAGTGTGAGAAAGAGACAAATCTATTTATTATTAAAATAATAATTAATCTTTTATTATCAAAGAGAGTTAAATATTATTTTGAAATATTTCCTTTTTTTTCTCCTATATCCGAAAAATAGTCAAGACGATCGTAAAGTAATAATAACAATAATTTATAGCCTACAAAGTTCGATGCTAGAAAATTAATTGAACTATCTCTTTAAACCTATAATTTAACGCTAATATATTCTATACGCACAAAATCTGAGCTATAAAATAAAGAAGTGTAGCATTTATCTCTTTTTTATCTCTTTTTTAATTTTACGTATTTGCCGCTATGAGAAGAACGAATAGCCGAAGGTTACTCTCAAATATTACGTAAATATTCGGAATTTCTCTATCTCTTTTTCTTTCTCTCCATACCAATCGATTCATTAATCGACTAATCATCATTATTATTATTTTAAAGCAACGTTGTACGTTGTTTCTGCTTATCTAGAGACGCAATTAGCTCTGAAACTTGTGTTCTGAGCTTGAAATCTCTTAAAATCGATTCCCTCGAGTTTCCGAAGGAGCGAGTCGAACTTGTTCGTTACTGCGCGCTGAAGCTTTCGTGTCTCACGAAACGACGATACGTCACGAGGCAACGATACAACATTCCTGCTTCAGGGCCCTATCAATCCTAACATCTCGAACGCGCTGTTGCTGCGTTAACAACATTCTGCGATCCGCGTTCGTCGAATCCCTCGCGGAAACGCATGTAACCGCGCGACCTTGATTAATGCGCGCAACGCGTCAATCTTCGTCGTTCCTGGACGTTTCTGGATGGATGACAGCCGTCCTTCTACGGAATCCTAACGGTGTCCCGGGCGAGCAAAGGGTTCGGGATTTAACGAGGTATCCGACGTAACGTAAACCAGTGTACCCGATCCTGCGATCCCTGTCAATGGACAACGCGCGGTCGTCGTTTCGAGGCATTACTTATCTAACACACGTGCGATGTACAAACATGCAACATTCGCTATTAGTGAAGAGGCAGAAGAGGAAGCATATTAATAATGTATAACTGGTGTACTTCTGCATACTTTCTCATACATCCGCGTTTTCCCCGCATTCGTTTTTATATTAATCTTTTTACATCTTCCAAATAAAATGAAGTAATTTTGCGAAATTAAAATAATATTATATACAAACAACATTAACGAAAAACGAAGATATCTTCTTACTTACGTCTTCTAAACGTAAATACGAATTAAATTATATTATTAGTTGTAATATTTTTCTCCCATATATCTTATTTGTGTACGTTCGCCGCCGTGTTACTTCGGCTTCGGTGAAAATCCGAAGAAATCCTGAGAAATTCTAAAACAAGCGCAAATTATACTCGAATCCATTTCAGAATAAAAATGCGAAGATATATACGTAGCGTTCCGCGCTACTTGCTCTCAAGATAATCTCCCAGAGGTTGAGAACGTAAGAAAGATATCGCTCGGAATTATTCTGCGATTTAAAAAAAAAAATCGCGATTCGAGAGATCCCTCGAGAAGCGGCCGATTCGCGACCGTTCCTCCGCACTGCCGAACGCAATTGCGAAACCGGGATCCGTCTTGGAAACCGGAACCCGGTTTTGCGTTACGGGCTAGGTAACGATTCTTCTACACCACTGACCGCCACGTGCGCGGCTCAATCAATCGCTCTTGACAATTTATTCGCGAAGTCGTGGGGTTACCGTTATCCACCGTCGTGCCATCGTTACCGTACTTGGGTAGCGCGTCTATCAATGCAGGCCCAAATGGAATATGCATTATTCTAACGAACTCCAATAAACTCGCGTGCACACGCGCGCATTATTACGCGGGCCGGCTACCGGTTTCTCGTCTGCCGCATGATAACGCGACCGCTAAATGGCATGCGGACGCACACGTATGTACGTACATGCAAGTATATACGTCATGCGTACGTCCCTTTACCGTTTGAAAAGAATCCGCCTCCGCGGTCGCGAATTAGAGGCTCGCGCAGGCCGCGAGTTACCGTCAAGGCCGACGAAGTTTGCGTGCCATTGTCCAGTAATTCACCGTGTTAAAGCATGCTTCCGCGCTTTGTCATTCCTCCTCCATCTCCTCCGCCGACTTGGCGCACAACGAGTTTTCTATAAATATCCGACGTTTTTATACTCTCGTTGGAATTTTTGGAGAAGCCCGAGGATGATTTCGGACGGGCGAACTTTGTACGTGAGAGATGTAGCACGTGGAGGAAATGGGTTGATCGGGTATCCAAATTCTGTTTCAAAATGAACGAATCGGAAATTCCAGTAATTGAAGTTATCAGTTTGTCATGTTTCAATACTACAACAAGATTTCCGATTAATTTAAATAGACGTCTGATAATTTCAATTTCGGAATTTCCGAATCGTTCCGTTCACTTTGAAGCGGAATTTTACAGCCAACCAAACTATTTTTTCCGTGTGCAGGAAGCGGAAATATGCTTCGATGTCTTTTTTTTTTTTTCTTATGCAAGACGCGCAAGTAGACGCAAGTAGTTCCCTTTTTCTAATAGTCGGATGCGCGTGATATCGCGTAACTCGATAAGTGGTTAACCGATTGTTTCAATCACGACATTGTACCGTAATTGTTATTTATTTCACTGCACAATTATGCTAATCCACCGCGGTTCGTCACTTCGCTATTCTCGAACAATCGTCCGGAACGCAAAACGATACGTTCAACGAGGCATTACAGAGTCGCATTCCATTTCGTGTAGATTTCTTATCCCGATATTGACACTTAATTACTTCGCCGTCTATATACCGGTTAGTTACTTAATGGATGATTATCAATTCCCTTTTGGCAGAAATATGCAGCGGAGCGTACTATGGGAAACTGATCGGTAAGCTCTCCGAGTTTCATCATGGCGTGAGCGGCGAGGTTTATGCCGTCGACGCAAGGACGCTGTTCATCAAGGATTTCACATACGACGGCGAAGGTCCAGGTTGGTACATTACGTTGCGATGCGAGTTAAATCCATTCTCCATAATCAGTCAGGAGAAAATTACCTCGACCATTATCATTTTGCACTGCCGGGAGAAATGTTTTTAATATTCGATCGAGCGATCCGCGCGAATGAAAAATAATTGTAATAATATTGCGAATATTGTTTCAAATAAAGCGTTCGTAATTTTTAATAAAATTTTGTGGCAAAAATCGAAATAAAATTTAAATTAAATTTTTTTTCTCTACGAATGAACTTTAATTAATTTTTATCGCGTGTATAGATAAGAGAAGAGGAAATATCGCGGGCGAGTCTTTTGTGTTTTCTTTTGTGTTTTCGCGTTTCTGGGAGGATGCGAGAAAATTGCCAGGGAAAACTTTCCCTCGGCCTGATAAGCTGACCGCGATCGACTTTTAGTACCGGAAAAACTTTCCCGAATTTCTCTGTTACACGTATTCGTGACGTGTTAACAAGTTGGCTGATTGCTCGAGATGCCCGTTCCCCATTAATGGGATATATCTAGATGCTTATTAGAGCTTCACGATCTGAAACCGTGTTATATGTTCGCTATTTGCTCGCTTGAACCAAACCATTCGTCGTCACTGGCAACAGGAACTTGCTGCACAAATCTTCTTTAACCGGTTCTTCTGTAAACATGTTTTTATCAATAATGTCAATATTAAGAATGCCACTCTTCCAGCTGCCTTCTTTTACGCTGGAAGCAGCAAGGGTCCAGGCATCAATGGATTCCGGGTGCGAGACGAACATGGAACGTAAGTAAAATCGATATATCGATCGATATTGTTTCACTGATTCTGTTTAATTAAATAATTTCAATCTAAACATAATTAGAATATATTTGTCGAGCAAAATCGTTGCCGATTTCAAAGTGATCATTCTTGCTCGACTGTCGACATTAATCTCTCTTTTCTCCCGGCAGCACGAACGTCCTTAAACGGTACCGTAAGAAGGACATCACGCTGACCTTACCGGACGGCAAGACCTTGAACAACATCAAATGGTTTTCAGTTTGGTGCGACGAATTCTCAGTAAGTAATTAACGAATGCATGCTCGTGACCTTGGATCGCGCGATATCGGCGCGCGCGTACTTGCTCGTCGCTGATGGGAAACCGGTATCATTTTCTCGAACTACAACTTTCACACTCGTACGGACGCTTAACTAACGGTCACCCGAGTCCGCCTGAAGCGGACTCGAGTGAATGGAATACGGTATATGCGTAGCTTGATGAAACGCCACGCGATCATCACATAGGCTCGCCGCACGTCCGCGAATTTAGAATTTTCATAATAGGGTCTTTAATGTTCCATTTCTATCAAAATGTGTGGAATTTTAATTTAAAAATCTTTTAAATCTCAGTTCTACGTCTTAGAATTAAAAAAGGAAGATAAAAAGTTAAATTGAAAATTAGCTAAAGTTAATCTAGATAGAACATAAGATAAATCTTCCTCGCTCGGATCATGTTTTATTTCGTCAAATCTCGTTTTTGACATATCGATCCCTCAACGAACGTTCTGATGAATTAGATTATTGGATTATGGCAAGCCTGAGTTGATAGAGAATACATTTTGCAAAAGTCGAATTTGAAAGAATTTTTTTTCTGTTTAGGTGAATTTTGGTGACGTCAGGATACCGCGAGGCTTCGATTATCCGAAACCTCAGAAGTTGAAGGCATTAAGCGGCATCCACGGAGTCAGTTCGGACCCAGTTGTCGTCGTGGATGCTCAAACTCTTCTGATACCTAATTTCAGTTATGATGGGGAAGCACCTGGCAAGTTTCTCTCGTTACTATTCTCTCTTTACTATTTCTAACAATTTTAACATTAATAATAAATTGCCATGATAATATTTGCGAGATATTTTTGAGTTTTGTGCGAAATTTATTCAAGATATCAAACTTCTTTTCTTTTTTTACAATTAGCTAAGATGCGAATAGTCTCTTCAGCTTTTCACGAATCTGTTCCGAAAACTCACGAATATCATAGATATATTTGCGTTAAACCGCCGAAAAGAACGATGGATGATGAGTATAAAGACATTTTGTAGATGCCAAGTTCTGGGTGGGCGCTGGTCCCAACCCCTCGCCGCAGGGTATTCGAGTGCCCGACGAGAACGGGAAGGAGCAGCCATTGCGTCGTTACAATCACAAAACAATCGTCCTGACGTTACCGGGCGACCTGACCGTTCACCAGCTCGGTCACTTCGGAGTGTGGTGCGAGGCCTTCACCGTGGATTTCGGCCACGTGCAAATTCCGCATGGTCTCAACGTACCACCGTCTCTGAAAATGCTGGGGGTTTCGCCGCAGGTACGTGTCACACATATCCTACAGTTGTAAAGTTGAAGGGAGAATGAGGGGTGATTAGGGGTGATAGAGATACATTAACACGTAGCTCTCGTAGTGCACTGTGATACTTCGCATTTTTTTTTCGCACGAACCGCGAATAACATGAGACTGACCTCTCGACAGAACTGTCTCTTCTGTCTTTTCCCCTTTCTCCTCATCCCTACTGCACCTGACTGCGAGTAACTTTGACCTAACTGACAGCGTGAGAATTTGTCAATTTGTCAATTTCGTCCGTTAAGAGATCTCGTCTGGACACTCAGGATTGCTCTGATTTTTAACGACGGACGTATGACCTCTCAATCTTGTTATTCAATTCAATAACGAGACCGTATATATATATATATAT